TTATGTTCCCTGATCCGCCACTGGCGGATCCGGGAACATTCGAGTTCGATCAAGGAACACTGGTCAAATGTTCCCCTATCGAACTGAATGTTCCCGGATCCGCCATTGGCTGAAAGGATGTTTCAGCGAATTGCTTGTGCAGATGAATCGTGCAAGATACCATTCACCGTTTTCTTGTCTCTTTGGCTCAGGTACCCCCATCAATTTTTCCAAAAAAAAAATATTTTTGATACCATGGATGGTGGCTCGGCGGAGGTGGCAGGCGATTTTGTCGCTGGCTTCAGCAAATGGTTTGCTGAGACGGGTGGAGCTTGCAATTTGGAGGAGTATGGCCGAGCCTTGCCTGCAGATGCTTCCACCCTCATAAGTTCAACTACAAGTCTTTCATCTCAATCCATGACACATTGACATCGGTTGGGAGAGACACTGCATACAGGATGTGAGACCAGTCTTTCATCTCAATCCATGACACATTGAAATTGGTTGGGAGAGACACTGCATACCGGATGTGAGACCAGTCTTTAATCTCATTCCATGACACATTGACATCGGTTGGGAGAGACACTGCATACCGGATGTGAGACCAATCTTTAATCTCATTCCATGACACACGTTGACATCGGTTGGGAGAGACACTGCATACTGGATGTGAGACCAATCTTTAATCTCATTCCATGACACACGTTGACATCGGTTGGGAGAGACACTGCATACCGGATGTGAGACCAGTCTTTCATCTATATAATTCAATGACACGCATGGAAGTTGGTTGGGAGAGACACTGCATACCGATGCGTCCAATGTGAGGTTGGTTGGGAGAGACACTGCAGACCGACGTGTCCAAGACCAGCCTCCTCTCCCTGAGCTGTGCCCTCGACTGTAGCTGTGGGGTCCGCAGCGTGCACCCGAAGACCGTTGCCAAGTACGCTTGGATCTTTACTCAGGACCTTGCGCATTACAGTCGGGTGGTTTGAAAATGCGGTGGATCAACCTGAATTCAATGTAGTAGGCACATTAGCGTGCAGGAGCAGCGCTGGGCGGAAGATGGTGGCAGCATCAGCGTGTACTTGCCCCACGGAGCCGAGCAGAGCGATCCGAAGCCCTTCCGGCATCACTTCCTCAGAGGCGTGCTGTGCACATACATGCACTTTCTGATCTATATAGATTTTGCATTACAATCGTACACATCAGTGTGGGTTTAGATATGGGAAGCCATCCCAAGTAAGTGGGACAGTGCGAGAGGCATTTTTAGATGGGAGTTTCATCATGTACTTCGCAGCATCTGGGAATACAGTTAGATATGCTCATATCGGTGGGACAGTGTGAGACATGTATCTCTCGCCAGAATGACGCAGGACATCAGAGGACAGCCACCCTGCATTGCATGATGAAGTACTGCTGCTTGGCTGCCAGTGAGATTTGGTGATAGTACTACTGCTCAGCCACATTACATTGCATTCCATGCTCCGAACTTTGTGGATAGGCTGCCAGTGAGATTTGGTGATAGTACTACTGCTCAGCCACATTACATTGCATTCCATGCTCCGAACTTTGTGGATAGGCTGCCAGTGAGATTTGGTGATAGTACTACTGCTCAGCCACATTACATTGCATTCCATGCTCCGAACTTTGTGGATAGGCTGCCAGTGAGATTTGTGATAGTGAGATGCTGCTCCGGTGATAGTGAGATTTGGTGATAGTACTACTGCTCAGCCACATTACATTGCATTCCATGCTCCGAACTTTGTGGATAGGCTGCCAGTGAGATTTGGTGATAGTACTACTGCTCAGCCACATTACATTGCATTCCATGCTCCGAACTTTGTGGATAGGCTGCCAGTGAGATTTGGTGATAGTACTACTGCTCAGCCACATTACATTGCATTCCATGCTCCGAACTTTGTGGATAGGCTGCCAGTGAGATTTGGTGATAGTACTACTGCTCAGCCACATTACATTGCATTCCATGCTCCGAACTTTGTGGATAGGCTGCCAGTGAGATTTGGTGATAGTACTACTGCTCAGCCACATTACATTGCATTCCATGCTCCGAACTTTGTGGATAGGCTGCCAGTGAGATTTGGTGATAGTACTACTGCTCAGCCACATTACATTGCATTCCATGCTCCGAACTTTGTGGATAGGCTGCCAGTGAGATTTGGTGATAGTACTACTGCTCAGCCACATTACATTGCATTCCATGCTCCGAACTTTGTGGATAGGCTGCCAGTGAGATTTGGTGATAGTACTACTGCTCAGCCACATTGCACTGCATTCCATGCTCCGAACTTTGTGGATAGGCTGCCAGTGAGATTTGGTGATAGTACTACTGCTCAGCCACATTACATTGCATTCCATGCTCCGAACTTTGTGGATAGGCTGCCAGTGAGATTTGGTGATAGTACTACTGCTCAGCCACATTACATTGCATTCCATGCTCCGAACTTTGTGGATAGAAGATCATGTCTGTGTGATCATGCTTTTGATGCAGCGCTCATGATCTGCAGCTTCAACCTGGGAAGATTGCCCACTGAGGCTTCGCTACACTGGAGTGTCCTCCCTGGTTGGTGACTCTCACGCAGACTCTGCCGATCGTGGTGCAGTCCGTGGCAGGGGAAAAGGATGCCCTGGTTCGTGGCGTCGCTAGCTGCCTGCGGCGACAGGAGTTCACCAAACTGTCGTACATCGAGCTCGCGGTCCTGTGCAGCTCCGACCGTGTAGCGATGACGGTCGACGAGTTCCAGACTGCCCTGTTGAAAGAGTACCCGTCACTGAATCAGAAAGTCCTGGATCTTTCCCGATTCGTGAGTGTCTGCAGACGGGTTCCAATCGGGACTTTGCAGTACGTGCGCGACTTCATCTCCGAGCATTGCTATGACCAGAAGCTCGACTTGATTCCGATGTACTTCTGGAGGAAATCGAACTCTCAGCCGCTCGGATGTCGCACTGTGTTTAGCCTGACACGTATGTATAGCTTCTATCAGTCTGGGACGTCAAATAAAAGACATACAAAAACGACTTAAAACACGTTCATCCATCTTTGATCTTAGGTGAGGGTAGCTATGGCAAAGTGTACAGAGGATTACTGATTACTGAAAGATGGTAGTGATGTTGCCATCAAAGTACTGAATTCACCCCGTGAAAGTGGATTCGAAGAAGAAGTTAATGTCTTATCGAGATTCAGACACCCTGAGCTTGTCATATTGATGGGCTTTGCCAGATATCAGACCCAAAGAATCCTGGACATGAATATTGACAAGCTGGTGGCATGGCGTCTCAAATTCAAAAAATCCAGCTGCACCCATAACACCTGAGGTTCCTGCTGCAAGGTGCCAAGAGGGGAACCCATGCCCAGAACGAGAACTGGACGGAGAAGGCGCAGTACCTCACCATCAGGAGGATCTGTGAGGAGCTCTTGCAGCTCAGAGGCCAACAGGACCGCTCCGGAGTTTTCCACACCACCAGTATCCACCAGTATACCGAATGTTGGCATTAGACTAGACACGATGGAAAGCTGCTGCTGCCATTCACATCGCAGCATGATCAACTATTGTAGACTATAGTGTAAATGCTCAAAATGCTGTGGTCCACATTGCGCAGGACGCAGATGAGCCAGCACCGTTGACTTTCAACAGGATTCAGGATGTTCGCCAGAACCAGCTCCGAGATCTTAGCATCAAGTTTTGCAGCAGTGGTGCAGATCGTGAGGAGAGAGAGATGCAGGCCTGGCGTCCAAGAGTGGTCCTCCCATGATTTCTCATGCCTTCAGACAGTGTGAGTTACCAATAGGTGGACCCGCAGCCCATGTCATGTTGTCCTCATTCCACTGGGTCCAGGATCAGTAGGCCTTACGTCCCAGAGTGGTCTTCTCATGCCTTCAGAACGTCTGAGTTACCATGCAGTAGGTGGACCCGCAGCCTATATCATGTTGTCATCACCCCACCGGGTCCAGGATGTGTTGGAGAAGGCATTCATCGATGGGCAGTTGGACGCAGAGCTTGCTTGCGGAGCTCAGCTGCGGCGCTGGCCGGTCATGGTCAAGCTGTTGAACCAGCGCCAGGCCGCTCAGAGGGCTGAGTCGAAACGGGAAGAGACGGCAAAGGCCATTGCGATGGCACAGGCCGCGAGGACAGATGCCGAAATGGCTTCGGCATTGACTGCATCCATGAGAGTTCACTGGCTGGACAACCAGGACTGCTGGATACCCGCACTTCAACGGGTTTCAGGATGTTTCAGGGCTATTTCTTGGTATAAATCAGTATATCCATAGCTCCTGCGTACTGGGCAGGCGTCGGCAGTCATGCCATGCTGGCGATGGCATGTGATAGCACTTTCATCCTAAGCATGCCTGGGTCCATGTCGGTGGTGAGGGCGTAAGCTAGATTAAGCTAGTATACCATGAAGATCCATCTCAAGGAAGCCTGAGCAAATCTCACAATCAGCAGCTTATAGCTTACGAAGCATTATAGATGTATTGTCATGCTACGGTACACACCCCTGTGACCGATGAGTCTGTCGATGGTTATCTCGCTCAGATGTGATCCCAAGTATGATTTTCAGATCTTCACCGTGTACGGACTGTGAGCTGGTGCTGGTAGATCACTACATGCTTCTCTGTGGTACCACCACTTTCCTCTGCACATAAACCTCATGGCATCTCATGGCAACTGCATGCAACTTCTTTGAAGAGATTTGGGCCAGGTTAAAGCCCATGATATACAGATGCATACAGGATAGAATGGCATTTCACCTCTCAGGAGGCAGTGGGGGACATCCTGAGCAAGGCCCGCGCCTGCTTGAAGATGGGCAAGGGGAAGTTCGACGCCCTGATCGACGATTTTGGAGATTCATGGAAGTACACGCCCAGCATAGCTAAAGGGGCACTTCCTCCTGATCCTTGCTAGCATTTCGATTCTCTTCCACATCGGTCATGTTCTTCATCATGGCCACTGATTGGAAGCCGTATGATATGACATCCAGTGGTTCAGCAGTATTGAGCCATGATGACACATGTGATCTTGTGTGCTGAGGACTGGATGGGAAAATTGCAGGTGGCATCCTGCGTGGTGGTGGTTGACTTGGGCCAGCTCCTGAATGATGAGACTATGAAACCAGCGCAACTTCCTCCCGTGGTGCTTGCTACGATGGAGGCGTTGCAGACCAGTCTGGATTCGATTGGTGTCATCGTGACTCGTGAAAAAAAATGATCTCAGCTGTGGCATACCGGGGCATAGCAGTTTATGATGCATGAAAAAGCCACTTCGCACACCCTGCAAATCCATGACTGACTATTCATAATGATGGATGATAGTTAACTGCAGCACTTCATTGGTTCATCATAATTCTTCACAGGACCTGAGATGCTCAGGGGCTCATACTGTTTCATATCTGTCTGGAACGAACTGAATGCACAGAGGCTGGAATGAGCTGTGTCGCTCAGGTCTTACCGAAGACACCAAACATGTACCTGCTGTCCCTCATTGCAGCTGCAGCTGGTCGTCATCTCGATTGTCGGCTGATTCAGACATCTGTCCCGAATCTCTATGTGGTGGTTATGGGCAAGAACTTGGATGCAGCCACACCAGCACCACAAGATCCACCGGAGACCCCAGAGGTCAGCACGCTGATTCACAGGGTGGTGGCCAGTGAGAGTTGGCAGACAGGTGTCCTGACAGCCGCCCCACAGAAAGATCTCACATTCGGGTGTGTCTGGAATGAGATTTGGAGCGCTGAATGGATCCATGCTCTGCTCAAGTCCCTCGGTGTCATTCCTCTGCGCCAGAATGATGTGGTACTCGAGGTCGAATGTGGTCCTCAACTCCATGCCTTGCTGCAGAGCGGTGAGGGGGCCTGGTATGGGTTGCATGTCAAACCATCGCCGAGAAAGGAGCAGATACTGCAGGATCTGAGACGCAAGCCCCTTGGCCATGTTCATGAGATATTTCATGAGGATACATGAGGTTGGTCCCACAGGGCAAACTTCATGGTTGCTGTCTAGCCATCATATATACCGATTTGGCTATATGATTATATGATGCTCTCTTGTATATAGCATTTCGCAGTCAGCCGCTGTCATCATATCTGATCTTTGCCCGTCATGTCATCCGGCCCAGGTATCTGGCATCCTTCTTGAAGGAGAAGCGACAGCTGCGCGCCCAGCGCAGCGCTACTGATGACACACTGGAGGGGCTGGAAGAGCAGCTGGTCTCCAGGTTCCCGGGTGGAAGCGACAGTCGACCCCCCAGAGTCTACCCGGCCTACTTCGAGAAGCTGGTTGAGCCTTTGATCCGAGACGAGTGCGAGATTCATGACTCCGTCAGCATGACCCACAAGTTCACACTTCCGAAGGACGACCACTTTGAACATTAGGACCTAAGGAAATGATTTGGGTCGTTCACACTGAGATTGGGTATTTTACTGCATATAGTAATTACTGCATCACTGCGTCGTATGATCTATATTATATGGCTGTGATCAGATGGTACCCCAGTGACAGAGCACCTGACTAAATCTGGCAGATATGTGGCGCATCATGCACAGGAGACAGATGATGCATCCAAGTCATATGCGGACGAGCGAATGCCTCCAGTCCTTCGGATGGCAGCCCTGTGCCAGAAATCAGGAGTCCACACCTCAATTCTGCTCGACCCGCCGGGTCTCCACATCGATATTTCATCCAAAGTTTCAATGGATTCGCAGTGGAATATGCACCGGATATCATTCTTGGAACATGCTGAACAGTAGTAAATGATTCAGCCAATCTGTCCGTATCAGTGTCTAATTTTAATTAATTTTATGGGAAGAATATAGGGATGTGGCCACTCACTGTCAGTTACTACATGTCAACTCTGTGATTGACTGCAATATGATACATCGCAGCAAGCACATATTGGAGGTGGTGCTGATGGCCTCGAAGAGCATCCCCGACACATGGGCCATCTACTGCACAGCACCGGTTGCAGAGGGCGTCGCTTGGCCGGCATGGTGTTGATCTAAATTGTATCAGTTGACAGCACCAGTCAGAAACAAAAATACACATCACCATACACACACACACACGCACATTGTTCTTGATCTAAATTCTATCCTCCGCAAACGGTCATCCTACGCGAATAAGAGATTACAGTCGTGAGACATCGTGAGACTCTTCGCAACCTCCATGCTGATCTCTGGCAGGCCCCTGTTGGGCAAGAGCATGGCAAGTTATCACAGATCACTTCTAGATGTTCTTGAGATGCCTTACACACGCCGCAAACAGCATGAAATCCCTTCTCATAAGACAGATTGTTGCGAATTTGTTCTGGTTTGCCAGGATTACTGGACCCCATCCACAACGACACAAAAAAATGATAGTGCATTACTACGGCACTCTCCAGTCCTCTGCATCCTAAACGGATACTACGGGAAGTTCACGTCTCCAATGTGTAAAGCTTGGAGACCTGGATGTGGCAATTTTCCAGCCATACCAAATCATACCGAGGATCGCATCATGCAGCTGGATCTCGACTTTGTGACCTGCAAGCAAGCCGAGCAGAAGGGAGTGGGCGCTTGGCACCTCAATCTTCTCCGTGGTGGCAGAGTGACTCATCGATTGGCAGCGCCCCTCCTGGCCACCAAGCTGGCTGCCCACATTCGCAGATTCAGTGATGGTGAGATTGCAGCTGCACCTGTTGGGATGTGCAAAGTCAACTACTTCCCCTCCAATGCTGGCATTCATGCGGATCTGATAGCGGCCCATGACATTCAGCCGTTCGAGCAGGACTGTGGCGCACTGTCAGAGCATGGTATCGTGTCATATAGCATGGCATTGCCCCTGGTTGGATGTACGATCTGTGTGCGATGTCATCGCATAGTATCATATATGGCAAGAATCGACACGAATGGTAGATCATGATAGTCAAAAATCATCTGATGCTCCCACAGGAGCTGGCAGTGTGCATGCCCAAGCAGGCAGCGTCAGCTTGCGATGAAAAGGCGGCTGAGGAGCCCCATGCAGCTGTGGTCCAGCAGGCAGGTACATAGTTCTTGCGATCATTTGCAAAACCTTGCAACATCTTGCAACAGTCTCGTTTCGATATGATATGGAAGATCTTCTACTCGGTTCCTGGTGTAAATATACTTGGATGTTACTCATGTTCTCTTCCACGACTCCTTATAGCATCACCAAGCCATCAATACGTGCAAGGCGGCTGAGGAGCCCCTTGCAGCTGTGGTCCAGCAGGCAGGTACATAGTTCTTGCGATCATTTGCAACATCTTGCAACAGTCTTGTTTGGATATGATGTGGATGACTCCTTATATGGCATCACCAAGCCATCAATATGTGCAAGGCGACTGAGGAGCCCCTTGCAGCTGTGGTCCAGCAGGCAGGTACATAGTTCTTGCGATCATTTGCAACATATTGCAACAGGCTTGTTTGGATATGATATGGAAAAGATCTTCTACTGGGTTCCTGGTGTAAATATACTTGGATGTTACTCGTGTTCTCTTCCATGATTCCGTAGCATCACCTTGCCATCAATATGTGCAAGTGGAACTGGGACATGTGTAGTTCATGCTGTTCATCAAGTATCTCATTGATTCTCATTGGCCCGAGAATTGGGAAATGTGCAGTTCATGCTGTTCAGCAAGTATCTCATTGATTCTCATTGGACCGAGAGAGAAGGGTCAAACCATGATCCGCACTTTTGCAGGAAGAACCCTCCACTCCAGAGCATGGATTTGGCAATGGGCCAGTGGCAATGGTACCCATCGAGGCAGCTGGCATGGAACAGTCTCTGCCGGATGATCCCGAGACAGAGGCTGCAGAGCGGGCACAGAAGCGGCAGAAGCTGTCGATTGACGAGGTGCCGAGTGACGCCACTGCCGTGAAGAAGGAAGCGATCGAAGACACGATCCTGAATCTTCGCCCCCTCGATGGTGCACAGGCATTCGTGCAGGACGGGAAGGTGGTGCTGGAGGCCTGGGAAGAGAAACATGGGGTTAGTATGATGTTCAACATCGGGTGTCAGGGAGCCATCTGTGTCATGATGTTAGTTGAAGAGCGCTTTCCCACCAACCGGTATAGTGTGGTCAGAACATGTCAGGCTTCTGTATGATTTCACAGGCTTCAGATATCTTCAGATACTCTTCACATGCCTTCCCCAGTCAGTCAAGCTTCAGATACTCTTCACGTGCCTTGCCCAGTCACTCAAGCTTCAGATACTTTTCACATGCCCTGTCCAGTCGCTCGTCAGGCGGAAACGACCGGCAAGAAGAAGCTGAAGATCCCGTCAGGGTTGGTGTTGTGGGCAACGGACCAGGGTAGCCTGGAAGAGCAGTCCGTCGAGGCGAAACCCTTCAAGGCCTTCACCGTTCCGTGGAAGTTGACGGCCAGAACCAAGGTCTATGTTGAGAACTTCACATGGGCGACTCGCGGTGGAGGTGCGGACGGTGAGGACAAAAAAGACGATGCCAAGGATGACGGTGAGGACAAGAAAGATGGTGACAAGGATGAGTGTGAGGACAAGCCGGAACTCGACTTCGTGAGCCTTGGTGACATGAACAAGGTGTTGAACCACCTTGAGGCACCGCGCAATGGCAAGGCAGTGTGGTGCGGCGAGGGCCTGGACGATGTCAAAGTCTACGGGGCTGCTTTGGACACGGCGCTGCAGACGCACTTTGCAACTTGGACGAAATTACACAGTACACAAATCTTCTCACCCGTCTGAAGACCTATAAGGCATCGACATCCCACGGCAGTTGCAGGACACGGTGAGAATCAAAGAACTATAGCCAGGATCTACCAGGTGGTGATTGCATGCCGTATCATGATGTATCATGCCTTGGCACTTGCATCCTCTATATCAGCTCAGAATCATCTCTAGACGATGATGATATCCCATTCCCGGTGATCACTATCATTCACTATCCATCCATATCCGTCCGGTTCCAAGGTGACGCGCTTGGACCCATGTCGCGATGCTGACGGCAATTGTAGTGGCTGGAACCTCGTGCCCGTGGGACTGGCATGGCGCATGGCCAAGCAGCTGGCGATCGATGGCCGCACGGAGCTCCCCAAGAAGATCAAAGCTGACGAGTGAGTGATTTGCACCGCCCAGCGTGGAAAACTGATGCCAGCACCATCCAGCAATATCCAGCACCTCCCAGCATGCCGAACATTTCCGATTTGAACATTCAAGAGCATCGAAGTGTTCAGTTCGACCATCGCTTCGCTTCACAACAGTTGCATGTGATGATAGGGCAATCTTAGCTTCCAATAATGCATACATTTGCTACCAGTGCGGACAGACCTCTGCGGAATGATCTACACTATCTAGTCGAAGTTTGTTTGCTCATCCATGCTCATCCTGCAGCATTTCCTTGATTTTTGCAAGAGGTTGCATCAGTGAGAAGTTATGCTGCCCACGGCTCAATTCTTGCCAGTTATTGTCAGAATATTTCAGAATATCTTAGTTGTGGACGATGTTTCAAGCGCTGCAGAACCATTGTCAGAGAATGTGGTAGATGTGCACCCCTCCAAGAGCGATAATTCATATGAGAGATAGAATCAGTATAGGAACTTGAAGTATGATTCCATATGATTCCTGTCACGTTCGCTTCATTTTGTGTCAGTCTGGAAGCTGGGAAAATATACGGAGCATGTTATCACACGACCATGTCTTTCCCCTATACCCTTGGAATACCTGTAGAGTGGCTGCATAACACCTCTGAGGCGAGTAACGTGACATCCGAAGATCATCGAAGATCGGATCTCTTCACCATCACCTCAGAGGTGCCTGAATTTGGGGTGGGAGATGTGTGAATCATTGTGAATCAACATCGGAGATGAGGGATGATGAGGGCACCCGACTGAGTACTCATGCGTCAATCTTCAGCAGCCCAGAAGTGAAGGACAGCAGAGACCTGTTCATGTGTGACAGAATGTGTCAGCAGTTTCGCGTGATTTCGCGTGTGTGTGCGATTGTGTGCGTGTGAGTGTGAGATCGTTAAAGATATGCACACATCCTCGATTCCGCTTCATGTCTTGCTTGCTGCAATGTGCTTCAGTCCACGGGTGATAACGTATGATATGCTATTTGTACTTCGATCTATCCTTACGTCGATACATTTACATGTATACAATACATGCACCCTCTGGTAAACTCACTATAAATGACATTAAAGGACCATTTTCATCCATTTTCCATAGCTACGTTAGTTTATCAGAGGGTATACTCGTTGTGTCTTAACATGGTGTATGTTTTTGCCGATCATGGGGAGAATGAAATGCAGATGATGAGAAACCATTGGGATTTTGGGGTGCCTGATTTCCAATCACCCAATGATTACGCTAGGTCTACATTTTTGGTTGTGGAATCATTCCTTAAACATGGTGGTTTAATGGGATGTTGATATTTAATGGGATGATGCCTATCAATACGATCAACGTGGCGAGGGTCCGGAGCGCAAAAATCTCACTTGGCTATATATTGTAGACTTCATTCTGTCGCTATCATGATTACGTATACGATTTCTGCTAAACATAGCTAAACATTAGATTTATTTAGAGTTTTTTTGGCAGGTATCATCAGGTATCAAAATTCATCAAGATTCACCATGGTTGCAATACACTCTGGATTTTGAATCGGATATTTCGACGACATACTGCAGTTGCTGAATCTTGCTGACCAGGGATGCCAACATATGCCAACAGTCAGCTGACGTCATGCGAGGACTTGCACCGACGGAGTCTGGATGGATAGTTTAGTCCTTTAGTGTTTTGCTATGATATGAAAATATATGAAATATAACTTACCATCAACCATCATGTTAGATGTTTTTTGTTTTTTGTGGACTACCCAAGATTGACCATGATTATTTTCCAACTGGAACTTGCATATTGGGATTTTGGGGCTGTAATTCCATCAGCCACTGACTATCACTGACTGATCGAAATTGCTATGAATTGGACAAAGAATTACAGGACCGGACCTCCTGGAACAATTGAAATGTACTTGCACACCACTGTCTGCACTGGATTTCTTCTCTTGGATTAAGCCAGTGAGTGGATTTGGTGCCGTGTGTTACTCAGGAGCTTCGGTATAAGATGCTGTGCAACACATTCAGTGTGATCCTCCTTCCAGCAGTTGGCCGGTGGCTCAAGTTGGGCATTGACACGCCAAGAAGCTCCCCATCTCAGAGTCGGTTCAATCCTGGGTCAGTTTCAGAGAATTTCAGAGATCTGTATCGTCTTGAAGGTCATTTTCGAAGAATCTCAGTGAATTATAGATCTCAAGATGTCTCAGACACATTTAAATCAAACTCAGTCAGTGAGGATAGATGATTCATATTTACAGATGATTTTCCTGTATTTTCCCGGGAAAAACATATACCACTGCCATTTCGTTGATTTCCCTGCGGGCTCACAGTGGTCCTTTGTCAGGGCTCAGTTCCACATCGAGACTTCGATCATCTTCGATCTGCTGCGGGTGGCCTTCGGGCAGGCGAATTAGTGTTCAAAACCCCTGTTGGTTGATGATTAGTTGGGAGATTATATCACTCAATATATTGGGGATTAGAATATTCCAAGAACGGGGAACCCCTAAATATAAACCAACCAGGATTACATGGAATGATAGAGGATGATAGGGGGATATTGAACAGCTCATATGATTCTATACCAATGTTCAATGGAGAATCATTGGGGATGTGGGTTTGTCAACGTGCCATAAACCACCCATGACTGGGAATGTTTTTTTGGCATCTATCTGTGGTGATGTGGGGGTTGGTTTATGAAATTGTTTTTACACATAAAAGGAGAATCACCCCTAATAACTAAGCAAAATGAGAACCTCGCTGATAGACTTGTTGTCAGTCCTCAGTTTACAGAAATACAAAACCATACCTTTCCGGTAGCATTTTGACCCGGAATATATTGTTTTTTTGGTTACCGGTGAGGGACACTGGTGACTCGTTGGGACGACTCGTTTCGAGGGGATGATGCCTATCAATACGATCAACGTGGCGAGGGTCCGGAGCGCAAAAATCTCACTTGGCTATATATTGTAGACTTCATTCTGTCGCTATCAAGATTACGTATACGATTTCCGCTAAACATAGCTAAACATTAGATTTATTTAGATTTTATTTTGGCAGGTATCATCAGGTATCAAAATTCATCAAGATTCACCATGGTTGCAATACACTCTGGATTTTGAATTGGATATTTCGACGACATACTGCAGTTGCTGAATCTTGCTGACCAGGGATGCCAACAGTCAGCTGACGTCATGCGAGGACTTGCACCGACTGAGTCTGGATGGATAGTTTAGTCCTTTCGTTTTTTGCTATGATATGAAATATAACTTACCATCAACCATCATGTTAGATGTTTTTTGTTTTTCGTGGGCTACCCAAGATTGACCATGATTAGTTTCCAACTGGAACTTGCATATTGGGATTTTGGGGCTGTAATTACATCAGCCACTGACTATCACTGACTGATCGAAATTGCTATGAATTGGACACAGAATTACAGGACCGGACCTCCTTGAACAATTGAAATGTACTTGCGCACCACTGTCTGTACTGGATTTCTTCTCTTGGATTAAGCCAGTGAGTGGATTTGGTGCCGTGTGTTACTCAGGAGCTCCGGTATAAGATGCTGTGCAACACATTGCCTCCTTCCAGCAGTTGGCCGGTGGCTGAAGTTGGGCATTGACACGCCAAGAAACTCCCCATCTCAGAGTCGGTTCAATCCTGGGTCAGTTTCAGAGAATTTCAGAGATCTGTATCGTCTTGAAGGTCATTTTCGAAGAATCTCAGTGAATTATAGGTCTCAAGATGTCTCAGACACATTTAAATCAAACTCAGTCAGTGAGGATAGATGATTCATATTTACAGATGATTTTCTTGTATTTTCCCAGGAAAAACATATACCACCGCCATTTCGTTGATTTCCCTGCGGGCTCACAGTGGTCCTTTGTCAGAGCTCAGTTCCACATCGAGACTTCGATCATCTTCGATCTGCTGCGGGTGGCCTTCGGGCAGGCGAATCAGTGTTCAAAACCCCTGTTGGTTGATGATTAGTTGGGAGATTATATCACTCAATATATTGGGGATTAGAATATTCCAAGAACGGGGAACCCCTAAATATAAACCAACCAGGATTACATGGAATGATAGAGGATGATAGGGGGATATTGAACAGCTCATATGATTCTATACCAATGTTCAATGGAGAATCATTGGGGATGTGGGTTTGTCAACATGCCATAAACCACCCATGACTGGGAATGTTTTTTTGGCATCTATCTGTGGTGATGTGGGGGTTGGTTTATGAAATTGTTCTTACACATAAAAGGAGAATCACCCCTAATGACCTTATGTCCGAGATTCCCACTGGTCGGTGATGATTTCATCGGCAGGGGAGCCGCATGGAGCCGCCCATGAATTTCATTGGCCCAAATATGTCCTGTAAATGGTAGCAGTCACTGACCACAAAATATGTTGGGGGTTCATACTGGATCTCTACGTGGAAATGAGGTCCATTCAATTTTCGCATGGAATGGTTTACTCCAAAAATTTTAATTTAAGTAGGACATTTCATGATGACAGCACATACCACCATTCGATGTCAGGGTACCCGTCTTGCAAAGCTAAATTTGATGCTGCTCCCCCGTCGCCAGAGCGACATGGATCGCGATGGCTACGTTCCTATAGGCCATAAGCTAAAGGTGCCAGAGCCCAGTGAGGATTGGTGGAAGGGGTGGAATTTCCAGCTTTGTAATCACCTCTACAGGATGGACCAACTTTTGTGTATACTTTCGCGCTATGGACTATGGACGAACTTTTCTAGTAGGTCACACACCTACACATCTTGCGATGCAGAAGGATGCACGCGGGATTGCAGGTTCCACTCTCTTGCTGGTTCCGTACCGGCTTCTGCTTGCGAAACAGAAGTTGTTACTCTTGACCTCTCTTCATCTTTCTGCCTCACATTATGTTACCCCCTGGGACTCAAACACATTTTATGCCTGATTTTTTTCAATTTTTTTCGCTGGTCCTCACCCCATCTGTTCGTAGACTTGTCTGGTGAAAT